AAACATTGAAAAAAGTTGAACTCATTCACTTCCTTGCTACACATAGAATGCAAGGCTAGTCTACCAACACTACCTTCTTACCCAAGAAAAAGAGAAAATTGCACAGAGACAAACAAATAACCTAATTTCTAAATTTATACAGATAAAATGAAAATCCATTGCCCTCACTGTTCCTATTAACATCAAGAAGTCAGAAAACTCTAACTTGAACAATGCCAAAGGTTTTCATTCAATCACCAAGAACTATTTTGGTGAGGTATCGACATGGCTAGGGAGCCCAAGATGCAAGAATTTCTTAGAAAACTAAATGTGATAAGGAACATACTCGCACGTAGAACCTTCTCTCTTTAAGACTTCTACCAAGTACTTGCATTTCTCACACAACATTAATCAAGAAGAAGAAACCAAGTGAAGAACATAGAAGATTTCACATATGAAGATAATCCAATATATGAATTTCAAGCAAGTTGTGGTAAATTAATAGTGATAGAGAGATCAACTATCAGAATGTGACCGTCGAATCAAGAGGTACAGAAGTGACACTGCAGTTAGCAAACTAGGCAAAACAAAATGAATTTAAACCCTAACATCAATAGTTCACACGTGGCTGCAGAACCTGAACAAGCTACCTAAACAAAAAGCAAAGCCAAAATAGTAATTGAAGCTAAGATAAATGGAAACAAAGGGTACCTTCCTCGGGTACCAATTCTAATTAATGCAGTCTGGGTCTTCTGTTCAACAGCAACACAAGCCCTTGTCACTCTAAAGCTTTGCTTTCGACTACAGCTAGGCAACTCTTGAGTCTTGAAACTTGGCAAAAAGAACCCAAGAACAGAAACTGACCCAAAGGTGCAAAAGTTGACAGGGGAAGCAGAGCTCCGTGGCAGAAGACCACAATGGTATGTACAAAGAGAAGACAACGTCTCCATTAATGTGGATAAGCCTGCACAGGGAATGACAGAGAGAATTGAATAAAAAGGTTGTATGTATAGAAAAATATAGGTATCTATTAATTCATAGTGATTCCCGCACAAAATTACACAAAAACTTAGTTCAGCATGCAGAAGCAGAAAACAAAAAAGTAATTCAAACTAAACTACTAAATTTCACAAAGTGAAACTAGATAACTAAACAGTCACTATCCCAAATAACAGTCTGGCTAAACACCAAAGAAAATCACCCACATTTCATTCAATTTCGTAAATATAAGCTTGGAATATTAAAATAGGAAAAGAAGGATGATAGGCACCCTTCCTGCTCGACGAGTTAATACATAAACAATTAATTGTATTGTAATCTAGCTGCTAGTGTGAAAACGACATTCATATCACCTGCATTTAAAGTGCCGCTAGACACCAATATAAAAGGTAAGCACGTAGAGATATAAGTTCAAAAAATTAAAATAACCACAAATTATAGTTTTTCACTGTGGTTAGGCTTAATCGTAACAGATAAGTTACTCAAAGCACTGAAAGAAACCTTTAACTACAAAATCTTACGTGCTACAGCAAGAATACAAGGAAATGGACATCAATCAGCAGAAGCAAGCATGAATAGTAACAGATAAGCTACCTTAGTAGACATTAGATCCAAAGAAACGACTTACAAACCATCTTACAAGATACAGATCTGGTATTTAAGAAGTTCCATTAGAAATCCATGACCGGATTCACATACCGAAATACCGTTGACGAAGCTTCTTGGTGAATTAAGAGAAACAGCAGAGGCCAGAAAAAACAGAGACGGACACCTACGTTGACAGGATTTCAAGTTTATAGCAGAGGAGAAATAGGAGAGAGTAATAGCGATATTTGTCTGCTCGAGAGGATGCAACGGATAGGATAACGATATTTTGCGAGGACTCACTTATTTCTCCTACGGTTCTTTCTATCCGATTCTGACTTCACTCTTTTCAATAAAACTGCAATTAGTCTAATATTTTATTTTCTTTGATAAAAATATGTAATTAAGGTTTTGCTTAACTATTTAATTGGACACTTAGTTTCTATTTACTACTTAAAATGCTGCGTAACAAAAGTACAAACTTATCTATCGTTTTTTTATTAATATTAAAAATATATAAAACTAAAATCAGCTATGGGATTGGATAATTACTTAATTTTTTTATTACAACTAAAAAAATAACTTTAATTTAATTATTTACTACTTAATAAGCATAAGATTAAGTAATTATCTAAAACCATAAATAACCAAGCATCACTATGAAAAGGTTGCACTGATGTTATGTTGACTATGCAATTAATGATAAGTTTCGTTCATAATATAAGGCAACAATATGCTAAAAATCTAATAGCCATTACGAGAAGAAAAAAAAACTTATTATGATGTTTGGTTGATTAAATTAAAATTATTTTGTAATTGTAAGTAATTAGGGAATAAGTTGTGATCTTGATATAATGTTGAGGTAACACAAAACAGGATTTTTGCATTAATTGTAATCACTAATTTACTTTCAATATTATTTGAACTTATTCAAAAAGGTGAATTTTAATTAATTAAATTTGTTCTTATTTTAAACTTGAATCCATTTGAAATTTTTATGGTTCTGATAGAATCTGATGGTTATAATTTTTTAGTTAATTAAATTATTTTTTAAAATTAAATACAAAGAAAAAAAATATAACATAATTTCAATAATTAAGAGATTTTTAGAATAATTTATATGAAAATTTATAATTTTATAAAATTTATATTTTATACGATAAAAATTAAACATAATATCTATAATTTTATCAATTAGAATAATTATATAAAATTTTATTAATCTATAGCTTATTATAGTTCTATCTCAACTTTCAATACTAATGAACACAAATATTATAATATAATTATAATTCTATTACAACATTATTTGCTCCTAACTAATAGCTATTAAATTATAGCTATATGTCCTATTGAACAAATCAAAAGTGTCTAAAAATAAATCTTTAGAACATATTACAAAAGAAAGATTACAACCAGATGGCATTAACTGAATTCCTGAAGGGTACATACCTATGCTGTTATGTTACTGAGAAAATTGAGAAATAACTTTCTGCACCAATTAAAGTAAATGTTTGAAGAAAAATAAGTCAGCAGCAGTCGCTCAAACAGGGAACTGAATATATCCTCATCAGTGACTTGTTGCAGGAGAAAGGTGTATAGATCCAAAGAAAACTAACAGATTCTACCAGGTTCACCAGCAATATTTGCAGCTATTTCTGGAAAGATTGTGATTATCAATATCGAGTTGTGAATGTACAGTGCTCCAGGAGTAAAAGCTCCAGAAATTGCCATCCTCATTGCCACCAGTCTGGAACTTTCAACCTCCGATTTCTATGTACAGCAAGCCGGATCTGTGGAAGCTTGTTTTTTATTTGTTTCCATAACATATTGACAGCATCATCCTTTCTTGTGGGGTGCTGAAACTCATAGTGATGAGAGATGTTCTTAAGCCGCCCCCACATTTCAACCCATCTCTCCTTTGGAAATCTCCGAAGCTCATTGACCAGGGAATCAGGTTGCAATGCCTCTTTTACAGAGAAGAATACTGAAAATTCAGAGTAGTCAATTTCATCCTCAAAGGGAAGCTCAATCTTGTCACTCACAATGACCGGAACACAATGACTCACGATGGCATCAAATAGTCGACAAGATGAAGGAGTATCTCCTGCAGGATGCAGACAGAACTTTGATGAACGCATCCCTTGCGTAGACTGGTATAACAGCAGAAGAAGAAATGAGGAATAGGAAGATGATGCTAAAGAGTGTTTATAAAACAAATCGATCGGGATATTTCTAATTCTTCCAGGGAAGACAAGCTATTCAGACTTAATGACAGATTGTGATGCAAATGTTCTTATATTGCCACGTTATCCACAAGAAATAAAGTGAAGTTGATCCTGTTTAGAGAGCAGTTGACATTTTCATTTTTTATTATGCTGCAACCACAATATCCTTTCCTGTCAGGAAAGCGAAACTGGAAAATGAAAGACATCCGGTGATCTCGAAATATGCAGGCTATGAAATGAGCAACCTACATATACCCACTTTCTAGGACTTGCATGTGAATACACATTTCCAGCAGATAATTTAGAAACACATTACCTACCGCTTTAATGTTCTTTGTTGTTGCTACACTCCGTTCAAAGTGAACATCATCATATCCAGATAACATCTTCTCCAATTTGACACGAATTATGCCTTCCTGCAATAAGAATAACCCTCAGAAATGTTTTAATAAGCCAGAGATTTCTGAAAATGATAGATAAAAATTTCTATTTATTTATACGTGTGTCTATTTCTTTAATAACCTACATCTTTCCTGACTGTATTTCCCCGGAAGAAAAGAAGTGTTTTGCGAGATTCAAAAGGATCTGGCAGATCATCATCTAGAAAGGAGTCCACTACATGAACATATGGAGATACCACATCTTTGCTCAGATATGACATGTTTCTAGGATAGCGGCCAAAATCCACAACAACTAGAATAGACGCATTCACCTGTTGCCGAAGAAATCTGAAAGCATTTGGATGAGTCATAGGAATTACATGGTCTCTGCCTCCTGACCTCTGCCAATACTTGGATTTCCACAAGAATTCCATTAATTCAACCTAAACAAAATTGGAAAGAATCCATATTCAACCTCAGCGGCAAGGGAAGCAGATACCATAAAGAACCCAATAAAAAAAGCAGGAATAGGGAAAAGAAGTAGTTTCTAGGTTATAGAGAGAAGCATCTAATCATACAGCAAAGGAAGCACAACCGTTAACAATGTTGGCCCTCTTGCCGGTTGGAAGAATGCTCACTATTTATGTTCTTTTAAGGAGCGAAACAATTGTGATACTAGGATCTGAACAGTGAAATCTACATAACCATTCCACTTCAAGAAATAAACCTATTCACAAAATAAACAGAAAGATTTTCGGAATCATTTACTTAACTGACTCCATTATTTCCCAATTCTCAAGCACGTCTTTGCAGAACCGAGTTTCTAAAGCTATCAACAATCTTTTAATCATCAACAGCAACAGGAGATTAAACTACCATCAGAACATCCTAGCATCTCCTCCAAATCTCATCTACTGAATGATAATGACTCTCGATGGATCCCATCTCTTGATTTCATTGATAAAACTAAGATACAACTTTTTCAAATTCCAATTTTTATTTAATTGTAGTTCAATTAGCAATATTTATTTTGTTATACAACTTAAAGAGGAAAATGAAACCTTTATTTTTTCTAAATTCGTTATCATCAACAAAGAAAGTGTACATAGAAATAATTGCACAACGGATTGAAACGAAGAAACAACACATAACCTCGAAGGAAAAAAAAACAGCAAATCAATCAACTAACTACCTGTAATTGGCGATCAACTTCCGTCTCTGGATCCGTCATATTCTTCCCGTGTGTATTGAAACTCAAAGACGAGAAAAATGGCACAAAGAACGCATCTGCGAAGTCTGGATCCAAAACCCGAACGGCCTCTCTTTCTTCACCATCACTACTATCACCAAAAAGAGAAGCCATTAGCCAATACTCCACGCTGTGCTGCCTCTTTATCCCGGAGTTGGAAGGCCAGCTAGGGAAATTCTCGGCGGTCAAGGGCATAACGTCGGAGCTCCGGGAATCCAGCATGCCGACATGGAACTTCCGAGGGAGATCATACATGTAGACCCGTAGAGGATGGTCTGTCAAACAGGAGGAGGACGGTCCGGGCGGTGATTGCAGTAAAGGGAAGAAGTAGGGTCTCAAATCAACGGTGCCGATGTAGATTGAGTATGCGACGATGAGGAAGAGAACGATGACGATAGTACAAGTGGCCTTTCCATACATTTTTTCGGGGAAGAAGATGTGTTGGATCTTGATAGAACTGCTACTATCCACAGTCTATTCTTTCCTGGCTTTTACGCTCTCCATTTCAACTTCCATTCAAAACTGAAAATTTTAAAAAATAAATATATATTGAAATACGAAGATGCCAAAGAATGGTTTCACGAGATTTCTTTTTGTATGTTCTTTAAAAATAATTTTTTTTTAATTAAAATCTGAAGAAACTAAAATTTATAAATTAAATACAATTTTTTTTTTGAGAAATAGAACAAATAAAAACTATTTAAAAAATTTACATTTCTAAATTAGAAGACATCAAAATAGCTTCTGTTTAATAAACAACTTGGTAGAATTTGAAAATAAAAGTAATTGTTTAATTCAATTAAATTAATAACAAATTCCATAAACTTGGTAAAATACAATGGATTTTTTAATATATTACGTATAATACTCAGGCTCTAAAATTTGGTCCGTAATTAATTTTAAAATTAAATATATATATATAATATAATTCTTAAAATTTTTAAAATTTTATTTAATGTAAAATTAGAAAAAAATAGGTGAATGATGAAATTGAAAATAATTTTGAGAAAAAGATTTGAAAATTTGGGTTCGAGATGTATTTTTGAAAAAAAATAAAAAATTAGAAGTCAAAACACAATTAAAGAAAAATGTATCACGTAGAACTGCCCAATCAACAACCCCGACGAACCGGAGTCTGCCGTGTGGCAAGGCACGCTGACTCGATGCCACGCGGGAGGCCACGCTGGCAATCTGCGTGCCCGCAATCGGACGACCCGGATGTGTTCCTGGGCGCGTAGACTGTCCGGATCCGTTTCCTCATCAGGCGCGATCGGACGGTCGTGATTAAACACAATGAACGATCTAGATTTATTCCCTTTTTAAATACGATCGTACGGTCCATATCAAATCGTGATAAACGATCCAAATTCATTTTTTATTTAAATGTAATCGGACGATCAATATCAAACGCGATGAACGGTCTAGATTTAAGGAAGACGAGTATAAA